CCATATGATAACTTTTCTATAAATTTGTATCAAATTTAATGATAATCTTTTTGAGGTCCTACATACATAGATGTGGGAGGGTCTCATTGAATCATTAAAGAAAAAATGAAAATAGAAGGCATGAAAACATTTTAAAAAGTGTGTCCAGTATTCTCACAAGTGCAAATTGTGCATTCATTCCCTTGTGTAAAAGAGCTATTTAGAGGGCTTTTTAGATCTGAAAATTTGGGATTCATATTAGACTCACCATCAAATCACCAATGAGTATTTTGAGCAACAAAATTGGACTGAGTTTTTATTTTATTTCTTGAATATTAAAATTTTTTTCCAAAAAGAGTGAGTTTGAAATATTTTCTCTTTTAGGCCCCGAGATCTAAATAGCGTTTTACCCATAATACTTAATGGAAAAAGTTCATAGTTGCATCTTAATGTAAAACTAAAGATGCCCCTCAAAATTTAATCATAAAATAATGTTTGAATTTTGGAAAACCCTTTAATTAATTATCTCAACATCGAGATGTATGAATATGTAAAATAAAAAATAAAAAATTGAATAAGCAAAATAGTTTATCTTGCAATACATTATTTGGTTAATCTATTTTCAAGATTCCCATGTGTTTATAGGTCTATTTGATTTGAACTATTTTTAGAGTTTAAAAATTTATAATTAGAGATAAAATTCTCAAGCTATCCTATGAATTTTTATATCAAAATAACATTTATGATAAAATTTAGAAGTGCGCCTTAAATGAATTGTTCAAGGTTCCAAAGTTTTAAAAGATATCTTAGGGCATAAAAATTGTAGATTTTATTTTTTCTAATCCGCTGAGCTAATTTAAACCGCTCTTCTAAGGCTAAATAAATCTAAAAACACATGTCTTTTTTAAAAATATTTTTTCCAAACTTCTAGTGAGAGATAAGGGCTTCATGGAGGTGAGATATTACCAAGAGGAGAGAGAGAGATGTGTTCGGAAAAACACATGAGGAGAGAAACATTCAGAGACAAAAAAGAGAGAAAGAGAGAAGTTTGTGATATATAAGTGAAGAGAGCGAAATGATTGGGTTTAGAAAGATCGTGTATTTTTCACATTCATTTAAGTTAAAAAATAAATTTAAAGTGTTCAAAGTTGAAAGATATTTTTTTGAAACATTGTTTATCAAAAAAAGGACAACGGAGATGTACTGAGTATCCTAAACGGCAGCATTTTTCGGACGTTACTAACCTATGCCCTTATTCCACGTGGCGACATTGACAAAGGAAAGAGAGGTAGGGTCCACTTAAGTAGCCCTAAGATAAAGAGGTGGACCCCATCTCATCTGGATGACCTATGTCCTGATCTCACTCAATTCAAGCCTGGACCATGAAACTCAGCAAATATATATCACCTTCCTCACTGTCCCCACATTTTCTTCCATTCAATTTATATGTAAGAAAAATATCATTGAAGGGGCCACCAAAATCCCTTCAAAAGACATTCAAGGGTACGAAGTTTCAATTGAGGAAGAGCTTACTTTTAAATTTGGAAAATTTTGTGTTTTCGTTATTATCAAAAAACCAAATAGTTTTTGTTATTATTGGAATGTTCATTTTTTTCACTTCATAACAAAAATTTTAAAAAAGATATTTTACCCTTTTTCGGTTTTTAAACAACTGAAAATAAGCAGAAGCTCGGAATTTGCATTCTCAACCGAAAATAGGAATGCGTATTCCATAAGCCTAAACGAGCCCTACTATTTTTGGTTGTTCAAGAACCGAAATTAGCTTATTTGCGGCTTTTGAACAACTGAAAATCTAGCCATTTTGATTGTTAAAAAGCCGAAAAAAGGAAAAAAAACTCTTTTTTAAAAATTTTCGTTATGAAGTGAAAAAATTAAACATTCCAGTAATAACGTAAATTATTTGGTATTTTGGTAATAACGGAAACTATAACGCATATATACATAATTTTCCCCTTAAATTTTTTCATTTTTTGTAGATACATCTTCAAAAAATATTTTCAAAAAATTTTAAAGGGTAATTTTATATCCATTAGTCAAGATTACCATTGTATCAAAGATAAATGGTCTTACTATATATTTTCCCATATAATGTACTCAACATTTTTAGACACTTGATACCCTTACTCTAAAATATAGTAACTTTGTTTACTAGAGGTATTTTAGATAATTAATTAAAGATAAAATAGAAATTTGTGATAAAAAAATATTTATTAACTATAGTGGACAGTCACGTCATCTACATGAGATGAGATATCACCTACATGCAATATTAATTATCACTAGTTTCTCATAAAAATATATTACATTATTCCTACTGATTAAAAATACTCTTGCTCTGAATACAAAAAAATGATAATTCTAATAATATTGAATACATTAAGAAAATACTCCATATAGAAGATTACCCTAACATAAGCTATATTTAAATTATTTTGGTTCAAAGATTGGATTCTTAAAAAGCATGGGCTACTGGGCATTTCAAGGTAAAAGTTTATATAAGCTTGACACATTAAATTGTAGATTAAGGTGTATCTCAAAAATCCATTAGAAGATGTTATTTTGATATTATAATTAATCATCTCCCTATCAAGAGTAAGGATAGATCACGAGTGTTTATTTTTAATCTCTTTTCTACAAATCATTTTGCAATGAAATTTGGGGCTTGCTTTATCTAACAGGAGTGCATGATTAAAATAATAATAATAATAATAATTTCTTTTGATTGAAATTTACCAAAATACCCTAAAACTTTTGGGGCATTTTGGTCATTTATTTTCAAAAAAAATATTTCTTTTTCTCTCTCTCTAGAGGAGCCCGAATAAGAAGATGAACAGTCAAAAATTTCACTGAAAAATGTTTTTATAAAAGATGAAAAATCAAGCAATATATTGGTGTGACAACTGAAAATTACCAATCGTAACTATTCATTGAATTCCATTCATATCAAACAGCTGAGAAGTGCGGTAACGTGAAAATTATATGTGGGTGTGGTCACAGAAAAGCTTTCCCCAAACTAAAACTATTCGAATTCATTTGGTATTTGATAATTCCATATTATCCTATTTCACTTCTTATGCTTGGATGGTGTAGTCTTCCTAAGAGTCCATTAGAGGAATTAATTCCAAAGGCAACTCTTCATTATTCCATGGCATTTATCCCTCTGACTTTAGTTTGGTTTTTCTTAAGCTCCCCAACTTCATAATTAAAGGAATATATACTTCCATCATAGGTTTTTAATCCACCCAAGCTTCATGGTTCACGGAATTTGCCTTTTCATCCCAATTATTTATCCATTATATCTTCATAATTCATATATATTCCATTTTATCCATATCTATAGCTTTTAAACATCTTTGCTTATGAGGCTACAAAGCAAAAGTAGATGTCGAATACTCTATTTAGTACCCCACAAAGCGTACTTAGTAAAGGGTTTTCTAACAGTTCCCTTTTGTAAGAAATGCCCCTTTGAGTCTATAACAAAACATCAATATGGAAATTGTTTGCAATTGAAAAGGATCTGAGGGTGTAAGGCCCTGTTTGGCGTGCCAACTTTCAGAGTGTACTATATACTTGTACCTTAATTGGTGGCATGCTGATGCACCATCGTTCAAGGGTGCAATTTCAATAATGTAAGTAAGGCTGGCAGCGAGCCGGACCAGACCTAGCCCAGACCCGGCCTGTTCCCTTGGTGGCAAGCCCAGGCTCGGCCTTGGCCTGGTCTGGGGCCAAGGCCAGGCCAATCAAAGAAATGGGAAATTGTCAAAAATAACCATTCTGTTTAGGCTATTGGAAAAACTCCAAATCTTCTAAAACCTAATTCATAACCCTATTCGTCAATGTTTAAGATTTTGTGGCTAAAATATTCTTTACGGTAGTCTTAAGTCCGTGAAAGTTTGAAGAGATCCATATTGGCTTTACCACAATTGAGGTACTAATTGAATTGAAACCATCGGTAGTGTGTAGGCTATGATAGACTAGAACGGTTATGCTAGTATCTTGATGCTTCCTGTGATTTTTGCAGTCCACTTAGAGCTGTCACGATCTTATAAAAACCAATATCGTTGTTTGTGGTTGCACTTTCCAGGCATATTCCTAAATTCACTTTCTTTATCATGCCCCTCTCTCACTCTTGATTCTAGTGTCTAATAATTTTGTTTTAACCATAAAATTATCATGGACTTTAAGCTAGAGCGCTTTAATCTTATGCAGACCAACCAGCACCATCTTACAACCGTGATGCTTATATTAGACCATAACGGTCCTCGTAGCACGATGGTGGTGCACGACTTAAGAAACCATCACGGTAGTACTATTGCTACCGTGATGGTAGTATATAAGTTAAAGAAACCATCATGGTTTTAAAGCCACCTTAAAATGACTTTAACAGTATTCTTACAACCGTGAGGGGTATTTTAGGTAAAAAAAAATGCAAATAACATGGTGACAGTGACCATAAGGGGTATAGATGAGGTTTTAAAAGATTCGGGTTTTTTTTTCTTAATAATTAAAACAATATTTTTTTACAATTTTTAAAATAAGAAATACGAAGGAAATATGGGCCTAGCCGGGGCCAAACATGGGCGGGGCCGAACCTCAAGGCATGATGGCCAGGCCTTTCGGTCCACATTGTGTGGCACAGGCCCTAATTATTCAGACCGGGCCACCCGGCCCATTGCGACCCTTAAATGTAACTCAAACACCAACTATAACAATGTTTTGCCAATAGTGGGAGGAAAGAAAAACTCTTTTGCTGTTCCAGAATTTTCCTAAGGAAATGGACATCTTTGAAAGTTCATACAGTGCAGCAAGGACTTCGTTCCTTTCTTTTTAAGGTTTTCAAATGTTGATTGTCTTGGACAATTAGCTTGGAGTTCTTCATGTAAATCAGGTGTCAACCTTAAGATGCACCTCCAAAATTCAAGAAAAGATGTAATTTTGGTGTCAAAAATTTCAATGATGACTTGAAAATCTACTTTATATTTAATTATGAAATTTAAAATTTAAAAAGTCTGTAGCAATAAAATCGAATTACTATATAAATTACTTTTATTAACAATAAGACGGTTTTCTTGTTCCTTCTCTGATAGGAATATGGATTTGAAATGATCCGAATTCCTCTTCATTTTGTTGTGCTCAATGAAGGAACTGATACTCCAAAAACATTTGTTCTAAGTCTTCTTCTTGCATAGAAGAATACAACTATTGCAAAAACTGGGATTTTAGTAGGTTGTGGCACGTAGTTTTGAGTAGGTGGAACCATTCTGTTTTTGTTCTTCTCCACATTCTTATCAGGTGATCCGGGAATTTGCCTAACATTTTTGCAACTAATATTTCGATACAGAAATATCTCATTATTTCTCCCCACTGATATTTCTCATTTATTGCAACTGATATTTCTCATTTATGGCATAATTTTCTTGAAAAAATATTGGATCACCATGGGATACTTTAAAGTTTTAAATGAGTAATGCTTACCATTCCATTATTCACACAAATCCTTTGATGACTTATCAACTACCTTGCTCGAGGAATAGTTTCGCAAAAATGGAGACAAACCGGAATAACGTTCAATCTCTTGATTGAGAGGAACATCGATATATGTAAAAGTTTGTTTCATTCCTCTGTGCATCTCTATGACGGGTAAATCCCTATAAAAAAAGAGATGACTTTTGTGTAGTTTGTAATTTCATGTAATTATTAAGAATTTTTCTTGGATAGATCTCCTGTATAGATTGAGCAGATCTACAAATAGAAAAAAAATCATGAGAATGGACAATCTAGATGGGTGCAGTTTGCATACGTAGGTGTACCTTCAAATTTTATCATCGTATATAATTTTGATGTAAAATGTTCGTAGGATTATCTCAAAATCTATTTTTATATCTAATTATAAAATTTTAAATTTAAAAAATGGTTAAAATCAAGTAGATCTATAAACACATGAAAATCTTGAAAATGGATGATATAGATAATATGTTGTAAAATGCACTATTTTTTAGATTTAAAATCTTTTTATTTTTCATAGTCATATATCTCGATGTCGAGATGATCAATCAAAGGATTTTTCAACATTAAAACTACCTTTTCCGATGGATTTTTGAGGAGCATCTGTAGTTCTACATTATAAGCTAGCATCCTTATATAAACTTTTTCCTTATAATATATATTGTTTTTTTTCTTTAAAATCTTTTTCTTTTTACATCCGTACATATCAAGATTGAGATGATCTATTATAGGTTTTTTCCCCGTCAAACCGACCTTTTTTCTTTTTCTTTTTTTTTAGTAGTTTTATGAGGTATGCCTTTTTTTTATAGTGTAAAGTTGCAACCTTATGTAAACTGTCATTTATCTTTGTGTTTTTCTCAGTTCATGTGTTCGTACGATTTAAAGAAAAAAAAAAGTTTCATGTGTTCCATATGTCTCAAGCAAGACCATGGACATTCTTCTCAGTAACTCCGCTAAAAGATTCAAATATACCTTAACCAATCACATCTAGAAAAGTATAATAAGATTATTTATCTTTGGTACATGGTGGTCACAATTAATTTTGACTATTGAATGTAAAATTGGGTGGCTACATTTATTCTATTGACCAAGTTCAAAATTTAAAAGAAATTTTTTCGAACTTTACAATACACCTAAACTATCAGATTTCACATCTGATGATTATTTTATGACCTTCTTGTACCAGAAATAAATGATCTCATTATATACAAACCCATCACGCCTGAGACGGGAATAATGAGCAAGATTTTGAATAGTTTGTAGTCATGCACGTTTTTCACATATTGAACATGCTGGTTCACAATTGGACCCCCCACAAGGGATCAAAAGAGTAAAAAAAGTTAAAAGAATACATGCAAATTATCTCTCTCCCTCTCTCTCTCTCTAATTCTCATGTGTTCCATCTGTGTGTCAAGTGATACCAACTGGGAAGGTGGACTTGCTATTACTCATGAAACGCATGGAAAGATCTTGCTTCCACAATCAATGATCTCCAAGATCTCCCAGCAAGTCAAAAAGAGTTAAAAAATTATATATATACTAAAAAATCCAAAAAATATGAAAATGTATTTGAAGTATGATTAAACAAAGCACATCCAATGCATTACTAACAAATCTCAATTTTTTTGGGATTTTACATAAATTTTTTTGAATTTGTATTAGAATACACGGCTAGACCACTAAAATCAGCCGAAACTAGATAAGCTAGAGGCCGGTTCTAATTTGACCGGCCGGTTCTGAGTTGAACCGCCAAGTTTGCGAATGCTGCTTTCCAATCTTTGCCGAAATGATAAAAAAAAGCATTACAAACAAATCTCTTATTTTCTGAATTTTATAAAAAAATTTGAATTTCTTTTAAAATACCTTGCCAGACCACTAAAACAGGCCAAAATCAGATTGGGTAGAAGTTCGCAAACTATATCAAAGTGATACCAAATTGGACCCCTACAAGGTGGGCTTGCTATTACTCATGAAACGCATGCAAAGGGGCCATTCATCACTCATAAAACGCATGAAAACATCTCTCTCTCTCTCTC